GGTCCGGGGAGGGGGGCAGTGGTCGTTAAGGGAGGTGGAAAGAGCAGGAGATGGACTGTGCCAGTCGCGTGTTCGCGAGTGCTACAGTGACCGCCGGATGAATTTGTTCGCGGTGTGCACCTGCTCTCCCCCTCTCTCTGCGCTGGGCTGGCAGACTCTCTCCCTCTTTCACCTCCCCTTCCCTCCCGCTGCTCTGTGCCTCCCCGTGTTCCCCCTCTCACCTCCTGTTCCGCCGTGACCAATCCACCAATCACCTCACTGCGTCTCTCCTCGCGTTGCCTAGGAAACCGGCGTTGTGTTGCCATGGTGACTCCACCCCCCCCCAGCTCCATCCTGCTGGCAGGGTCTGCATTATAACGCACAGCTTCACTGATTAATACAACTCCACAAGACACTCCAAACCACTTTCATCTGCTCGAGTCAAGCCTGGAGAGAGGGAGAGAGATCAGGAGAGAGGAAGGAGCTGGGAGAGAGATCAGGAGAGAGGAAGGAGCTGGGAGAGAGGGAGAGAGAGAGGGATTGGGAGAGAGGGGGAGAGAGAGGGGGATTTGGAGAGGGTGAGGGAGAGAGAGAGGAATTGGGAGAGAGAAGGAGAGAGAGAGGGATTGGGAGAGGGTGAGGGAGAGAGGGAGAGGGAGAGGGAGAGAGAGAGGGATTGGGAGAGAGAAGGAGAGAGAGAGGGATTGGGAGAGGGTGAGGGAGAGAGGGAGAGGGAGAGAGAAGGAGAGAGAGAGGGATTGGGAGAGGGTGAGGGAGAGAGGGAGAGAGAGAGGGATTGGGAGAGGGTGAGGGAGAGAGGGATTGGGAGAGAGAAGGATTGGGAGAGAGGGATTGGGAGAGGGAGAGGGAGAGAGGGTGAGAGAGATAAGGAAAGAGAGAAGATTGGGCAGAGAGAGATGTGAGGGTTTAGGAACAGAGAGATCTTCCAACAGCATTTTATATAGCAGGGCACACACCTGAGACAGGCTTTAAACTAGGGCTGGGGTTCTGGGGGGATATCTGGGAAGCCCTGTCCCATTTCCAAAGGGAAGTCAAACACGTCAGTGACTAAGGACCTGAAAGCCGTGTTTTGAATAAGAGCACTTAGGCTGCTGAGATGATGCAGTTAAGTCCTTCAGAGCCCAGGCAGAAGGAGCTGTGTGGCCCTTTGGTACCAGGAACGAGAAAAACTAACTGTGTGAATGGCGCCCCCAGCTGGTCGTCCCGGAGTACTCCATCCACGGGCTGTTCTGCCTGATGTTCATGTGCGCTGCAGAGTGGGTGACCCTGGGCCTCAACATCCCCCTACTCTTCTACCATCTGTGGAGGTAGGCTGGACCTGCTGACCTTTGAACTTTGACCCCTTGTATCTATGACCTCCAACAGGGATGTCTCTTTAAATGCTCTTTTTAGCCCTTCCCTTCACTTGGGCCTAAAGCGTCCCTGTAAAACCTTTAAGTGGGTTTGTTCTGGAGTGCACTGGACTCCCCTAGCCCTTGTTGGACAGGGCAGAGTTGAAACGTTTATGGAAAGGGCCGTGTTTGTTTGCACAGGAGACTTTGGGGGTGGGGGGGGGGGTTAATTTCAGGGAAGACTCAGATGCTAATCAGGGGTTTTGAACCCTAACCCTGACTGTGATCCTTGACCAACTTTACCCACAATCCACTGTGTAAAGTTGAACTTTAACCTCTAACCCTGACGCTGACCCTTTAATTGTTGGTCTGGCACTGACCTTTGACCCCTGACCCCAGTTGTAACACTTAACCTCCATTTGTCTTTTTGTTCTTTCTCCGCTTGTCCCTGGACTCTCCTTTCCTCGACCCTCCTCTTTTCATCTTTTTCCATCTGTCTTCTCCCCCTCTCCCTCCCTTCTTCCCTCCATCCCCCTCTCCCCCTCCAGGTATTTCCATCGGCCAGCGGATGGGTCAGAGGTCATGTATGACCCTGTGAGTGTGATGAACGCCGACATCCTCAACTACTGCCAAAAAGAGTCCTGGTGCAAATTGGGCTTCTACCTGGTCTCCTTCTTTTATTACCTGTACAGGTAAGAGCTCACTCCTCCATGACACAGTAAAGCCCAGTGAGATCAGGGTAAAAGCACAGTCCAGCGCAGAAAAGCCCAGTGAGATCAGGGTAAAAGCACAGTCCAGCGCAGAAAAGCCCAGGGAGATCAGGGTAAAAGCACAATCCAGCGCAGTAAAGCCCAGTGAGATCAGGGTAAAAGGACAGTCCAGCGCAGTAAAGCCCAGTGAGATCAGGGTAAAAG